CACTAGACCTAGAACTAGAATATTTCAGATTTAGTGCATCTTCAGACTTCAGAAATTATAAACCAATTACAAAGAAATTTTTTGTTTGTCCTTTAATTGTTTTTCTCTAATAGATGAAAAACATTCATAAATGAATGTCGGTTTTTATAAAGTGCGCATAGAACGTGACACGGCGCACGCCCCATTAATTGTCTTATGTATGCAAAATTAAAGGGCGCTTCACGCTACGTCGCACACGAATGACGATATCGAATTGCGGGAAACCGCCAATACTTTAACGGGCCGATTTTTGGCTTTGTAAGCCGTCAAAGAAACTGCTCATTCGGAAAAACAATTAGAGATTGAAAAGGGTTCGATTCCCGAACGCCCCTTTTTTTCAATAAACGCGGTGCCCGCAACGTAATTGAGAACGCAAACACTAACCACGCGACGTCCCCGTATTGTTTATGCAAACAACACGTTTCTGCGTTCGCGATCAACCGTTCAATAAGCATGTTGTCGACCAAGAACTGTGGGGACTAATGATCAGTGCTTTCAAAAAAAAACGAACACCTGGATTCGAAATGCAAATTAACGTAAGTTAAAATTCAGTGAGTTGATTAAGCAATTATTTTTGAAAGGTTTCGCAAATTAAATTTTAAAATTGTTCGTTTTTCCAATTTTGGGAGGTCAAGTTTTCGTTGTAAGTATCCTGTGTAAACCAAGAGACTCGTTTTACTCGATTCGATGACGAGATAAAGATATCAGCCGGAATTAGGGGGCGATGATCCACACCGACAGGTAGCAAATCAGTTAAGGGGCCGTACAGAGAGCACCTGGCGGTTGAATCAACCAATAACGCACTCCGAGATTCACTTCGGCCACGCCTAACATCAAAATCAGGTTTTAGTCTGTGCATCCCGTAATTCAATGTCGAAGGAATCAGTCGGTTTCGTACAACCAACTTTATTTCAAAACATCTCCTTTTTCATATAATTTGAAAAACATACTACACATTCTTATGGAAACTCTTTCATAACTTACCTATAGATTAGAATAAGATTAGATATGTGTTATGGTAATTTTCCATTGAACACAAAACTGTTAAGATTGACAACACTAGTTCTATGTGTTAGCTCCGATCAATGATCTAAACCCTTCTATGGAATTCATACCATTACTGGAAAAAAACATAATAGTAAGAGTTGAGGTCCTCTTAAAACTAAAATATGAGATTTCATTAAAGTATCAAAACTATGGTTTGTTGGCGTGAGATAAGTTCATCAAAAGCTGCTTCAAGTTTGACTTTACTTCTTTTATCAGTGTTTGTAGCAACATCCTTAAAAAATTATACATAAAGGAATTTGTCCAGGGCGTCTGACTATCGGTCACCACTCTTGCTTGCTCCTATATAAGACAGCTGGAAAAAAATGAATAATTAGTTAACAAGACTAAAAAAGTTTTGACTTCTTGTCAAAAATAAAAATTCTAAATTTGAGACAAATTGGACATCGAGACAATTTTCAAATTAAAATGGTTAGATAAACACATGCTCTTCCTTTTTAAAAGGAGCGTGATGTAAAACTTGTATAGGTACTTCCCTAGCATTCAGAACATTTTGAAATAAGTATGAGTACGTCTCAAAAACATGTAAAAACTGAGTGACAGAAAGAATCGAATGTTATTGAAACTAACGATCTCACTGTTGATGCCAAGGAATCTCAGTCAGGAAAAATGATGTATTAAAAATCGTGTGGTTCAAAATCACTTTCAATACTGTTGATATAATGCAAAGTATACTTCAGTTAAACTCCAAAATAAACTAATTGATATCTGTGACCTAGTTCTCAGAAAACGAATCCTTGATAATTACAAAAATATCAGTTTTTTTATTTTACACCGTCAGTATATTGAAGCACTACCTAAATTCCGACTTCGTTTATTCTCAATATGCTCATCAGCATATTTAAGAGTCACGCAATCCAACCTCATTGTCATCAAGGTGTTAGTATGAATTTTCTTGATGTTAAGAAGCACATAGGAACCATTTAAAAATAACAGAAGTCAAATCCAAATACAGATATTAACTTTCGGGAGGAATACTTTTGTAAGATTCTTTAAGCAGCATAAACATATTTTATTGTATGCACGCAAAACTTCCGTGAAGAAGCTGGCACAAGGTTACTATTTTGACAAAGGAAGCTAATTCCAACTGATTCTAAACCTAAGGTTCCAATCTAAGAAAAACATTGCTTTTATGACTTTTTCGCTAGCGACTTGTTCCATTGGAAAATGTTTTAATACATTACGTAAAATGATAAATTCTGGTGACGATCACCGACTGTGTAAATTGATGTCAAATTTCTTTACAGCGCGCAGCAAAAATTCGTAAACATAAAGGTTTGGACATTCATCTTCAACCAAAACAGTTTTACGATTGAGTGGCATTTTTTTACTGCAATGTGCTATAAAGGACAAAATAAGAACACATTGGCAATTTTCAATTTCTGGACGTTATTATTAACACGTGCAATAAATCCAAAACATTTACCAGCCATTGTTTTTACATAGTCACTGCAGATATTAATGCATTCGTTCTGATTAAGTTTCTTTTGGGTTGTATGAGTCATCAACGATATACAAAATAACATTTCTCCATCTCCAGCGTTGTTGATTATGTACCAGAAGGTAACTAATACGTTATTTGATTCATCATATCGATTACCCTTTGAGTTATTAAAGGGACACTCAAGAACTGCTGTGGTGACGTTGAAACTTCAATACTACTATTTACTTTATAGATCTAACGTACCAAAAGTACTATAACATTAAACGAGATACATGTACGCTAATAATATTCAAATTTACCACTGTTGTCGTGTCAGGTATTTAGACATTAATGCCTCTATTGAAAGTATCTCGTTGTTAGAGAATTCATATTGATAAAGATTTATTCCGTGGGCATCTTTTCTCCCTAGTCCGTCGGAAGCTCCTAAACAGCTATATAATTAATAGTAATTTGCTAAATCAATGTTACTTACATGAAGATTCTTGTTCTGGCAGAATTCAATTTCGAGATACTATTTCGAGTATAGAACTCATGTAAACAGTTCTATATGGTATTAGGAAGCGGGAGAGCAAGTTGTTAGTTTCTCAAAACCATTACTTATATACCGCCATGACTGTAGATGTTTCAACGGTATTTCTTTTGCAATATTACTGCTATAATGAATAATTAAATTAGTTTATAAAAATGTTCTCGTAATCGAACTGAATAACATATAATAACATTTAATTTAGGTTGAGTTAGGATGAGTTGATTAATTCAATATATTTTGGTGTAATATCTGAACCTAACTTACTATATATTGTAGTAAATAACATTTTTGTGGCACTTTTATTTTCAGAATTTCGCTGTTTTTTTATCTTTTGATAGGTGGCAAGTTAATGCAACATTAGAAACGTGTTCTCGTGCAATTCTCATGATACTTACCTCGGTTTAACAGTGTGTTGTAAGTTTTAGTTACCTCAGTGAGTGTTTGTTGAGAGAGATATTGTAGTGTAAAAGCACTTACTAAAAATGGTAGCTGATAAACGTCGTGGCTTTTTTCACCTTCGGAAACTTTTGTTATATGTGTATAATTAATAATTACATTCCAAAAGCTCAAAGCCAATAAGAAAACCAATACAACATACAGCTGTTTAATTAGGATGGAACTGGAGTACTTGGTTCGCGATCTAAAGCTTTTTAATGGGCAGATCATCTCTTGGAGTTGAAACTGCAATAACGGAACCTTCTAATTCCAGAGGCAAAAATTTCTAGATTAGTTCTAGATTAAGAGGTATTTTCTTCGCTCAATATTTCGACATGGATAATTCAATGGGATCTGGAAAAGATGTCAATGATTTAATGATCGACTACATTAGTTCCCAAGTAAACTACTAACGCGCTCAGTATGAGTAAGTATTCAAATACTAGAAAGATTTTTCCTTCTACTGGACTATCTGAAGAAACCTTTGTTTTTAGCGGTTTTACTTTTTAATTCTATATATTTCTACTACCTAAATTCCTGCATATATATTTTTGTTTGATTGCCCATAAGAAAAGGAAACGACTTGGGTTGCATAACTTTTTTGATATTCTCTGAGAACACACCACATAAAGTATAACTTTATAAACATTACTAAATGTACCTTATCTGAATAAGGTACATGAATTTACACCTTTTTGACATGAATATTATCACAATATGAAGGATTTGAAAGAGTGCAGATCTCAAAAACAACATTAATCTTTCATTTCTCTCTATGGAATAGAAGAGATAATGTGATTCAAATCTCTGCCATCATAGATTATGGTGAAACAAGAAATATAATCTGAATATTTTTGTGCTAAGATCACTTAGTACATAATTTTTTTTTTAAGATCCATAATATTAGAGGTATAATTAATGTTAAGAGATAAGTAATACAAAATAGACCTTTTGACCTCTAAATTTTTTTTTTAATAATCAACGGTATTTACTTGGAACTGTTTTGTAGATTTTCCTGATGATGGCATCTTAGTATATCGAAACTAGTTCCAAGTAAATAACGTTGATTATTAAAAAAGTCAAGATCAAGACATCTATTTTGTATTACTTATCTCATAACATGATAATTTTTGTACTAAGTTTTGTGCTAGATTTTTTTGTTGCAAATCATTAGATCTTATTTTGTAAAGGTGGTTATTGATATCTCCCATAAAAAAAGACTAGTGTAAAATGTTTAACTTTGTAAAATCTCGATGAATATAGATGCTGGTAAAAAAATTAATAGAAAAATTACATTTTTCTTAATTAAAGAAAATTTAATTTTTCAAAGATATGATGTTTAATTTTATATAAAAAAACAATTTCGAATCCAACATTAATTAAATTTATATTGAAATTATGATAATTTGGTCATCATAAATATTTAATCCCCAAATATTGGTCAAAGATTAATTATAATATTATGGTTTATAATGAAACAATTGATAATTATTTGTTTATAATTTTTTTTTTTTGGTTAATCGATAGACGAAGTACCTTATGTACCATAAGATGAGTTATCAAGCACTGTTTTCCTATCTTACACTATGTCAATAATAAATAATGAACAATATAATGTCAAAACATTTTTTTTGTATAAAACTTACTCTAAAATCTACAACATTTCAGACCCAGATAAACGTTTAACAAACGCCTCACTAACTATAACAAGCGTATACAATAGATAAAACACACAATACATCGGTACAAATGTTGCTTTTTTGGCAATGTTAAATTATTATTTACCTTATAAACTAACTTACAGAACGAATACAAAATATCATTAGTGTAATGAGGAAGATAAAAATTTTCAGTGATAATAGTAGTTCAATAATTGTAGTCTCTTAAGCAGTTCTGATTTAAGTAGTAGGAAGAAGACATTCAGTTGGTTTCTGGTTTTGTGGTTGTCCAGCGGGAGACGTTACAGTTCGAAACGTTGCAAATATAGGAAGCACTATAAAATCAGTCCCAAATTGTCAATTGGAATGTTATTGTTCATTAAGAACAATATTTAACACTCATTCACGTTATACGTCCTCAATAATCGCCTCCGTTTTGGTAAAACTTTAAACATCATAGAAATGAAGGAGCAAGTATCTTAAGTAATAATTTGATATCTAGTTAATTCGACAATTACAAATAGTTAGTTTGTTCCCTTTTCTCACTTGCTGTATGTGTCGACAACCCGTAATTAGAAATTATTTTTAAGATACCCCTGTTTTCCATGTTTTACAAATTGTGTTAATTATTTTTATTTTTACCTTAAACGTGCATTAAAAATTTCCCAATGTTTTCCCTCAAATTTGAATCAATTCATTGAAAACATTTAAGTAAATTTCTTGTCATTTCGTTCGGACAAATAAATCGAAACAAAAACGACAAAATAAAAACTAAAAAGTAAAACTAAGTTAAAAAACTTACACAATATTTTAGATAAATAGTCTGTGTGAACTCTTAATGTTCTAATAATTACTTAGATAATCACAATCACGATTCAACTATAATCGATGTAGTCAAGTCGTCATATAGAGGCTCTGTGATTCGGATAAATAGCGGGTTGTGCTATTAAAGGCCCTTGAGGAGGATGAAGTTCGTGCATCGGCAAAACTGGAAGCAAGTGCCGAATTTGGGTTGGAGATCTATACCCAAGATGACTGGAAAATAAAAAAAACAAATTAATTACATCAATTTTCCAGTTTTTTAACAATGAGCACAAAATATTTTTTCACCACCAAGTCCACTATGTACCTTTAGCGAAGATAAGGATATAAGTAAATAAATAGAGAGTTTAAACGTAGTGATCAATGCCGGGTTAATAAAACTTTGATTCATCACTAGAAACAGTGCACAGAAGAGTATTTGATAACATCGCTGTAAATGACATTAAAAAAAAGTGATCTCTATAACAACAGAATTCTTAGAAAATTTCTCAGTCATTGCAACAAAAAAAAACGGGAACTGTTATCCTATTTAGATAAAAGATAACCAACATAACCAGTTAGAACAAGCCAAAACCGCAGGGCAAGTCTGCTGGTCTGAAAAGTATTTCATGAGGCGAAAGAACCAAGCGACCAAAAGTTCAAAAACTTTGGTTAAAAGCTGTAGACGAATTGACTTATAACTACGCAAATGAATATTAGGTAAGTATTAGTGATGGAACGAATAGTGATTTTGCGAAAAGCCGGATACCGAATATTTGGCCGGATATCCGGTTATCCGGCCATTATGGTTATAATTTCTGGTGCATTACCACATTATTGTCATATTTGAAAAATGAAATTAATAAGAAAGCTGATAAGATATGTCAACTGATTTGGATCCAAGATACAAAATGAACTTTTTGATGCTAATTTAACTAACGAAGCAACTCTAAAAAGAGGATACTTTAATTAATAATTGGTGATATTTCCACAAGGATCCTTCAAGAAATGAATTTTATAGCGAATTTTGAAACTTATTGATGAAAATTGCAACATCGAAAATTGTATCAAAACTTCAAATGTTGTTTTCTCAAAAACTAAAAGTAATTTTTCAAAACGTGTTGGTTCATTGGAAAGAGGACATTCTAATTAACACTTTGGGAAACTTTCATACTCATATTCCAAGCACAGGATTTTATACGCATTTTTAAAACTTAATCGGCGAAAATTGCAAAATTCGAAAAAATTGTGGATTATTTCAATAATTTATTTCTCAAAAATTAAAAGCGATTTTTCAAAACAGCTTTTTGCATTAAAAAGAGGATACATTCATTAATAATCGAAAGTGACAACAGCGACAGTTCTGTTAGTAATGAATGTGATGATGAATTACAAGCGAAGAGAAGAAAACTAGACGAAACAATGAGGTTGCTAATGACAAACCTGATATAAAGTTGTATTCAATGAAAAAAAGTCCTATTGGGGTTGAACTTGATTATTATCTGCAGTGTCCAACACCTAAAAGAGATACTAATTCCTGTGAATGGTGGAGTACTAAGTGATAGGTTTTTAATAGGTACATAACAATACATACAGTTCAAGGTGAGATTAGAAAATAAACTCTGGTTATGATGCCAACACATCACTAGTTCTGCATACGATTTTTTGAAAATATATTATAATAGCTATCGTAAAATTGACAAAAAAAAGAAGTAAAATGGACCTTACTATAAAAGAACATCCAAAGAAATTTCAAAGCAGAGAAGGAAATACAAGTGAGAGAATTTTTTAACAACTTTTTAAATAACCAGATTAATTAATTTTCAATACTTTATTATTTATCTGATCTAACATTGATACCAGCCATCTTCCAATCAACTAACCATCTTAAGAAGCTGCAAGAGATAATAGATTAAATTTTTTTCAAAAGTTATCTCGTGATGCATGCAACGTGGACATGTTAAATAAACTTTTATTGAGATCTGATCCTCTAATAACAGAAAAGTAAACAAAATTCTGGATAAATGCTGTTCCTCATATGTGGCAGATTCAAACAAATACATTCACAGCTGTTTTTGGTAGAAAAATATTTTTGACCAGGTTTGACACTCAAAAATCCGTACAATAACTAACAGTTATTGATTTTTCAGGTTAATTGTAGGCTTCGCCAACCTTATCCCACAAATATCCATAACTTTCTCAGAATTCATGCCTTGTTGCAAAGGATTAGATCGTTTGCGAAGAGTTGATCAAGTGGGCTTTCAATTACCTTCCGAAATAGTGAGATTAGAGATTACAATAATGCAGAAACATTATCAGAAACAACACCCAAAAACGATTGACGGGTTGTGTTGCAAGAAATACACTTAATCAGTTTCCTTCATATTCGGATTAACTTACTTCTATTCAGGGCAATGTTGTCTTCGAGATTATATGTGTCAATATTGCGCAACAGAAGAAATTTTGCTTTGCTAAGATAAACCTACCAACCCAATCCAACGAACACCACAAAACGGTTTACCAGTTTAAGCTACACGGCATCTAAACAGGTTAAAAAGGCAGATACTAAAAGTTCAGAAACACATATTCAGCAGAAAACTTATTGGGTGATAAGTTACATTGTTTACAACTATTACTGTCTTATATATCTAAATGAATCCATCTTTGACAATTCAAGTCACCTAATATAGCCATAAATAATACACCTCTCAATTGCACTCGTTTGAGCGATACCTGATAAATAATAATGCAATATGTGTGCTAGAGCAGTGCACAAGCGTCCTGGGTCTGTCCTGGGCAAGAAAGAAATCGACAAATACATCTTTTGTATATAGTGAAATCTCATTAGAGAAAAGAGGACATTCAGGAGTAGGCCTAATCATAGATAATAAATACAGAGAACAAATAGAAATCGACCTATACGTCAGCAATACCATATTACAAGTAACAATAACAAACCACAACCAACAAATCCATTCCATAAGTAAAGAACAGGATGGCAGAGAAATGTTTGAAAACACAAAATAGACCATTTTAAAGGTAGACCACAAAATATTATGATTAGTTGTATGAATCATGTAGCAATATTATGGTTGGAACTAAAAAAAATTAATCCATATGTTATAATTACATGTCTGTAACAAATCAATACATGTTATTAATGATGAATTCTATTGTCTTTTTCATTATACAAATATCCCTGCAAAAATGAATATATGAAAATAATATCAAATAGATAATAATCAATGGTATAAAAAATCTTTAAAGTTAATAAATAACCTTAAGGATTTCTTAAAATTTTATTATCAACTTACGATCCTTTTCCTCCACTAGGAAAACACCCACAATGACAACTACATACTGACTGATCTTCGTCTATTGAAACAGTCTCAACAGGAAAATGATTATGTCCTAAATGTCCGCTTAATATAGATCCATTTGCAGTGATAACATCACCTTCTAATCTCACTGCTCCAGCCAAAGCTTGCATTGCTTGCGCTTCATCGCGACGTTCATCTTCTGTATTCATGGTAACAAATCGAAGTACTAACAAATTTAATGAAGCTGCCACAATCGCCAATCCGAACAATATAAAAATAAGGGCAAACATAACGTATTCCGGTTTATCGCTTAAAGCACTATCCTTTTGCAAAGCAACCATATCTCCAAATCCAATTGTTGTAAGGGTGATGAAACAATAATAAACTGAATCGAAATAACTCCATCCTTCGTAGCGTGAAAAAGCGGCTGCTCCCCCGGCAATCGTTAATGAACTTAATGTTGTTACTACGCAGATTAAATCCAATTCTGACGCGTTTGTTTGGCGGCAACGTAAAGATGATTTAACAGAACGAATTATCACACTGAAACATTTTATTGGTGTAATTTGTATTCAAAACTAAAGTTTTAGTTATTTTACCTACTAAGCCTATTAACTCTTTCGCCAATACTTTGAAACATGACTAATCCCAATGGAATACCGATCATGGCATAACACATGGTGAATAGTTTTCCAGAGATAGTTGTAGGCGTGGAATGGCCATATCCGATAGTGGTTAGCACAGTAGTAGCATAATAAAAAGCGCCAGCAAACTTCCATTGTCTGCCAGCGCGATGCGGTTCCGACTTGAGAACCACCGTTTCCATTATTCGGAAGTCCTCGTCACTTATATTGTACTTTCTACGAATGATCTGCTCTATTTCTAGAAATGATATGCAAAATTTAAAATCTGTTAAATTGTTTAATTTTTAACACATACCTTGAAGTACGTCCTTTCGCTTGCTTTCTACTGTGGATTCGAGTGCGTCAAAGACAGCCGCGCCAATTAGGAGATACGTGAAGGTACACACGATAAGAGAGAGCGTGCGAACGTTTTGCTTCTTCATTATCTAGCGCGCGTCATAGTGGGCCCGGGGGGCTCCCGCGCTGCTAGCTGCCCCCCGCACTGTGTTGCCTCATCCTGCACATTTTACCCTCTACAACAAACAGATAACATTAACACTAATCAAAATAACTGGATATTTTCAGGATATCAACTAAAACTCTTTCATTAAGAAAACAACACCCACATCTTTATAGTGAATTAAAAAATGCTTTTCTAAACATAACATTAATTTTTCTATCAATTCAATTAAATACACTGTACAAACATAATTTTTAATTAAATTAACATCTCTTAAAATAACACATCCGCACACGAAATCAATACATTGTTGCACTGAGCCTTTACCACAATATACGATTAAACATTTCAAAACCATGCTTGGAATTCCTGTAACATGTATCAGTCGATAAAGGAAAATTTTTTACCCAAGTTCCATTATCAGAATGTTGTAGTAATATTATTGCGATAATTTTATATATAACCATCGAAATTGATCGTTATGCGCATATTAAAATCGCACACACACACTCCCGAGAGCACCCTTTGTCACACAGAGATAAATTTTAGTTCCCTTCGGAAAATGGACTACTCACCGCAAACGCACTGCGAGGTGTTCGGAGATGAATGAGATCGTTTCGGTTCACTTTGAAATTTACACCTAAAAAGCCATTATCCTACTAAAGTAACTACTACCTATCGGCTACGCCGAAACTACTGAAACTACTGCAAGTATTAAAAAGGAGGACGATATTTGGCACAATTGTTGTGTGTGTGCACCGATTTCGAACGGGAGCTTTTTGCGACTTGCCGCTGTACACGCGGTATACGATCGATAACGACGTCGCAATGACGTCATCTGTGTATCAGAGACGCGGAAAAGATTTTGCAAATACATAGTAACATAAGGGTTGAAGAGTTAAAGTACCCTTTAAAGTTCACTGATCTTTTTATCACAACAAACATTATTATTACAATATGAAATAAAGTGTAACTAACAATACATTCTTTTTATATATCTGTTTAAAAATCACTTTAAAAACTGCAATAAATTGTATTTCTATATGAGTATTCCAGTTTTATTATTTTAACTTATTATATACAACACCTGAGTATTCATTACATTAAATATAGGCCTGTCTGACGAATTGTGAATCATAGATATAATATAATGCTAATATTATGCTACACTACATTTTTATATGAATGAATATTATTATTCGTAACTTATTTTCCGGTGATACAATCAGCAGGTAGTAACAAAAATGCGATAAAAATGTGCATATTGGTAAGGAATAAACACCGTATATATTTATCCAATAAATGCTGTAAATAGTAACATAAATATTATATAAGGAAGTAAATAACAATATGTTATATTACTTTATTCTTCTAACATCATGTAATAACTTAAGTTATAATATAAAGTATTTAGGAACGATTAAGAATTTACCGATCGGCATTATTAATTAGCATAGAATAGATAATAGATTTGTTAGAGCCAAATCTTCGAGTTTTGGGCAGAGTACTACGAGAGTTCTCAGAGTTTCATAAATGAAAAGCCACAGAAATTAAATTAAAGTCCATTTCTTAAGACTTACCTCATGATCAGATGCTCGTTGGGTGCAGTGAGATTAGGATCGATTTATAGCACGATACTGATTGAATAATAGAAATACAACACTTGACCCTGTACACAGAATAGTAAATACCGTTAGTAGGCTACATATTGCTAACAGAAGACTGAATTTGCTTGCAGAAGCTTAAGTAGTGCATGCAGAAAATTGATTACTGCTTACATAAGATAAGACACACGATAAAAAATAAAATATTACTGGCAGAAGAGGATACTGTTAATAGAACACTTAATGCTACACACTGAATAATAATTAAACTTGGTAATAGGCTGAGCGCTGCCTACTACTAACTGTACAGGATAGAAGAATGGTTTTCCAATAAGAACGACTCACTGTTAACAGTCTGTGGCGGCCATATTGTTTGGTTTTGATGATAAAAGTTTATTATCAAAATGACTGTTCGTTAGCGCACGTTTTACGTCAATTGCGGTGGCCCTCAAAGTTGACTGTTTAACATTTGGTAACTAAATTTGATAAGACATAAGCGAAATGTCGGGAGCATAAGAAATATTATGGCCATAAGAAAAGATTATAGGTCTCTGGATTTTGGATGTAACGGAAGTAAAAAATAACCAGAGTTGCGAATAGAGATGTGTAACACTGCGCTGCGCGACGTAATTGGTTTAACTCAGTACAGTGTGTTACGTTCGCTGATACCCAACTTTAAAATGAGTCAACTCAATTGCGCCACCGTTGGCGTAGTAAAGCACGACGGTGTGGCTTGAAGATTTATAAATATGTATGTAAGTGAAAATTCCAGCCCTTAATCACGTATAAAATTTTCATTTGCTAGAACTTGGACCGAGACAGCAGGCGGTACCGGCGCAGTTGACCGGCGAGAGATAGATGAGGTACGTCCAGCAACTGTGTTATGGCGCAATTGAGTTGGTACATTAACTCACTTAGGTGCGCTAGTATCAGTGTGTCAGCGCAGCAAATTGCGCATGATTAGTTGCGAACCCACAACCGCATCTTCGATTTTTTTATCGAACGGTTGCAAAGATATCGATCTTTAAAGTGAGGGGTCTTGACTTTTGGCACGGATAGTAGTTGTTTGCTATGTCCGCGCCCGATTGTGTTATGTTGCTAGGTATAGGTGGAATTGATTCTGTTTATAAGGGAATTTAGACCGATCTTCGTGTTAGCGTGATTCGGCATAAAGGCACTATTACAAACACGCACACTGATAAACCCACAACTAGCACACCCGACATCACATCCCGCACAAACCCGGCAGACAGCAATCCTCTTCGATCCTCAAGACTCTGGAGACCATAACGTCGTAATAGTTGTACATAATTCAATTCTCACAATTCCATCAAACCACACTCCAAGATCTTTCAATATTGAGATATCTTAAAGTGTGATGTGACGTTTCTGACTGTATCTCATTATCTGGCATTTGGAAGTATTTAAGGTTAATTTGTTGTCAGAACACCACAAATAAAGTCTGTCTAAATCTAACTGGAGTAATTCAAAATGCTGCTCACAACCAACAGTCCTAAACAGTTTCAGATCGTCTGCGTATAGGGGTGAATTCGTATGGAAATTGTAGTTAATTCATTTATATAGATGTTGAACAGCAATGGGCCTAGTATGGATCCCTGGGGTACGCCACTCGCTTTGCCTTGACTTCATACCACTTAACTCAACGTATTGTCTACGATCGGATACATAAGATACCAGACGTTGTGTGAGAAAGTGATCACATCGAAATCTTTCCATCTTTTCAACCAACAAACCATGGTCCAAGCAATCAAAAGCCCGTGAAAAGTCAGTATGTATCACATTCACCTGCTCTCGAGAATCTAGTACATTTAGTTATTTTACTAATACGAGGATGGGGTTGTTAAAATGTTTGAATCGCTTTTATGGACGGAGAGTTGTAGGTATTGTTGTTCACGTCTTTCTGTGCTGCGTTTTATCTTTTAGCCTGATTATCTAATCAAAAATCTTTTTAGTTATTTGCCGTTATTGTTGTTGCTGATGTTATTCCAGGAGATATGGCATTGAAACATGTTTGGCAATTTAAAGATGTGAATTGGAGGAAACATGTGGAAGACCTGCGCACGTTGCATCTTCGTACACTTAAAGTAATCTTGCACATTTAGGGAGTCTTTTGCAAAACGTGCTGCACATTTTGTGTAGTGTGGGTCCTTCTTATTGTGTACTAGCACGGTGTCGATCTTTATGATATCGCAGACCTTAGACATGTTCTAGGTTACCCACAATTCATGAAGTAAACTAAATAAGTATTCTCTCCCTTTTTAGTTTGATACGTTTTATTATTTCTATGGCGTAGTTGGGTTGGTTTGGCATAAATCATTGTAATTTTTTCGTAGGTGGTGTAGGATGCAACCTTAAAAACTTTCTTTTTGGGGATGTGAATAGTGCTCGAATAGTATCATAGCCAAAAGATCAATACCTCTTTTGTAATTCTTCCTAATTGCTAATTAAACTGTTTGTGGTTCTCCAGGGTATACATAAGTCATATCGGCAGTAACCCTTTGTTATGTGGTGGAAATATTTTAGTCTCGAATTTTCTGGAATGTAGTGAAGATTACTATTTTGTTCAGAGTGTGAAACTATGATTACATTGTCGGAATCTTCCAAGGGATTCTTTTTATGTCATCTAATTTCATTTAACGGCTGAAAGTGCTACTGATTATATAAACAAAATTTACATATAAGGAAAATTTTAAAAAATACACTGTCAAGTGGTAATTTAAAAGTTAATCATCTCCACACTCCCTTTGTTAAAATAAAGCATTCAATTTATTACAAACAGTACATTAAAATACAATTTTAAACTAATCAATATTAATAAATACGTTAATCTTTTTTAAATTATTTGTGTTTTATTACAAGAAACTAAATAAAAAGCGTTTAAAACCCGACATAAACATCTGCGGACCACAACGATAACCGGTGGTTTGAGTCTGCGTCAACGTTCAACAAAGGACAAACAGTTTAAATCGATTAGTAACCTTAATATTTTCGTTTCGTTCAACACGGTGTTATCAAAGTTCTGATAAACTTTGCACTTTTGGACGCGTCTTTCTTGTTGTGCCCAAAAATATCCGTCAATCGTACGATTGCTGTATAAAGAATCGATTCTTTGAGGTGTTAAGATCATCATAAAAAGTAATTAAGAAAATGAAAATCGTGTGGCTTCTCTTGGCTTACGCGTGGTGCGTTCAAGCACATCATCCTTTATCCGATGAATTCATCAACCTGATTAACGTTAAACAAAATACATGGACTGCGGGGAAAAACTTCGACGAGAAAATTCCGTTGAGTTATTTTACGAAATTAATGGGAGCTTTACCTGAAACAGTTAAATTGCCGTACCAAGAATCACTTTTAGGAGTTGAAGATATTCCGGAAAATTTTGATTCGCGTGAAAACTGGCCTAACTGCCCAACCATAAGAGAGATTAGAGATCAGGGGTCATGTGGATCATGTTGGGTAAGTTCATGTTTCATAAACAAAGATTTTATTTTTATAGTTTTTTAATAATAGGCGTTTGGAGCTGTTGAAGCTATGTCAGATCGCGTTTGTATCCACTCAAACGCTACGGTTCATTTTAGATTTTCAGCAGATGATTTGGTTTCTTGTTGCTATACTTGCGGAATGGGCTGTAATGGAGGATTTCCTGGAGCTGCTTGGCATTATTGGGTCCGAAAAGGTTTAGTTTCTGGAGGTAATTATGGCTCAAATCAGGTAAGAACATTTGATTGTAATCATTTTAGTTGTTATTAACGCAAATATTTGAAATAAACAGGGTTGTCGTCCTTATGAAATTGCACCATGCGAACACCATGTTAATGGAACAAGACCACCATGTAGTGCTGAAGGAAAAACACCGAAATGTACAAAACAATGTCAAGAATCTTACCCAATTACTTACAAAAACGATTTACACCATGGAAAAACTGCATATTCAATTCGCAGTAAGGAATCAGACATTCAAAAAGAAATTATGACTAATGGACCAGTTGAAGGAGCTTTTACTGTTTATGCAGACCTATTAAACTATAAAAGTGGTAAGTAATTCAATCATGTAAGCATAATTTGGATTAAGAAATATTTATGTCACATTTTTAGGAGTTTATCAACATGTTGAAGGAAGTGCTTTAGGTGGACATGCAATAAGAATTTTAGGCTGGGGTGTTGAAAATGGAAACAAATATTGGCTTATTGCTAATTCATGGAATTCTGATTGGGGTGATAATGGTTATTTTAAAATGCTAAGAGGAAAAGATCATTGTGGTATCGAAAGCAGCATCACTGCTGGTTTACCAAAATTTTAATTTGAAAAATGTTGTAAATAAGATATCAGTTTGTTTTCTAATTTTCATTTATATTAAAAACCTTTGTTGTTGCGTAGAATGCCTTATAATAATATAAAATAAGTACATACAAGTTATTGTTGATAACATCCTAACCTCAAAATAAACTTACCGGTCGAAATTTCTCTTCTAAAAACGAAATGAAAATGTCCCATTTGTAAATATTGATAAGATACGAGTTAAACATAATTTAATTGTTCAAAATATAACCAAAATTGATTACTTAATAAAAAACATTAACTATTGCACTTTTAATACACTCACTCGGTTCATCAATCGGTGACATTTAAATTCCTAATTTCACACTAGCGCCATCTCTTTAAATGCGACAACATTTAAATGAATACAAATATTCCATATTGTTGATAAATAATCTTTGTGAAATCTTGAACTGAATACATAAAAATCATCAAAATTATATTTATTATTTAAAATTTAACTAAAATTTTGTTTATTATTCTAATATTGGTGATAATTCATGTTGGTAGCCCTGCTTTTCATCAAATATATGTCACTTTTCGAATTCCACGTGTGGATGTTTATAACCTAAAAATTTCACATGATCTTTAAAGTTGAAAAAATAAATAATACTCAATAATGGCCCGTTTAAAAGGTAAAATGTTTAAATAATTCCACTTTATAAATTGTTTCAAAATTACTTTTTAGAATTATTAGATATTTTGGATAATGAAGATGAACCTCTACCAAAACGCCTAAAATTAGCTGATACTGCTTTTAAATCATCATTATTACCCATACATTTTAAGGATGTGGGGCTTTTAAACTGGTTAATGGAGCTGGGAAAATGTGGTGATAAAGAAGTTTTAGATAAAGTGAATGAATGGTTGTGTTCGGAGGAAATTGTTAATATTGCGAAAAGTGATGTATCACAAGAATATGTTTTTGACCTCTTAAAAGTAAAATTAAAGTATTAATAATTTTAGCATCTTAATTTTTATATTTTTTTAGAGAATTACGTTAATTTTAAAGCATCAAGATAACAGGAACTTTGAAGAATTAATTGTAAATTCATTTCTTTATATAATAAGCAACAAAACATTCCAGCAATTTTTTAAACACGATCTTGAAGTTTATTCGAAACTTGTTAGTCAAGTTGTTATTCACATTCAAAGTTCTGATCAATTATTATTAATATTCAAATCTGACGAATTATTTAATAAATTATATTTGTCAGAAGAAGAAAGTTATAAAACATTTTGTAAATTTTGTTCACAATTATCAAAAATCATCGACAAATTTAGTAACATTAAAAAAGAAATTGTTGCATTTACAAGTAAGGTAAGATATTAACCATTTTATTCACAAAAATAAATTTTATCAATGTTATGATTTTAGCGATTATTCCAAAACAGCTCAAAACAATTTGAAAAATATTTCGAAATCATCTTTGAACAAACTGGAAATGAGAACCTAAATGAATTAAGTATTCCAAAAATAATAATCGACATTATAATTGAAAATTACTCCTCAAAAAACTTATCAGTAATTTCACTTATTTATCGTGCATTTTGTTCAAGTTTTGAATCAAAATTCTCCATAATTTATGAATTCACCGCATTATTACTTCAAATTTGCGGGATAGATGTACAAGAAAAATTCAAATTTTTGTTTGATTATAAAAATCTTTCTTACGACGTTAACTTTTCAATGAATGTTATAAGCAATATCTACGAAGAGCTTAAAGATTTAAAAACAAATCCAGATGATAAAATTGATGTTTTCAACATTTCTATGACCACTCAATCATTATTAACTACCATAATAAATATAACTGACCCAACAAAAGCAGTATTAAATATTTTTACATATGCAATTCAAGCAGAACCACTAATTTTAGAACCAATGTTAAGCACAATTTTACCATACGTCATGTTTAGCGACATTACCGAATATGTTAATGAATATAATAAGTTATTATTGACTATTTTGGCTGTTTCTGCTAAATTATATCGATTATCAAATTTAATTGCGAAGATGTTACAATGTATTAAACATTATTCACCAAAACATTCTTTGGAAACGGATGTATTCGCTTTTAAAGGAACTGTGGAAAGGAAAAAGGAACGTTGTATTTGTGATGTTGAGTTGATTTTACCTGCTCAAGTTTTAGAGAGTTTTTCTAAACATATACTTGATTTACCTAGCTGGCAGGTTATTAATATTTTTACATCTTTTGTACATCACTTAAAAATTGTTTCAGAAAGTTTTAATGAATTGTATTTGGGTAAGTATAAGAAATCTAATTTTAATTAGTCAAAGTGGAATTATTAATGCTTCTTTAACTGAATTGGTTTTATCAATTAATCATTTGGAATTTTTTACTTGCTCTTGGGAAAGCAACCTTGATACCCTTTCTTAAATATAAGCTTAATCTTACAGTTACTTTTTCATCTAAAACATATAGCTGCTATGATATTTGTTCAGTAAAAGTTCTCAGCAATTAGACAAAACTAAAACTGCGAGTTGTACATAACTATGACCAAGAGGCTCTTCAAGGACTGTCTTCGCCGCCTGCCAGGAAAGATCCGACTTCTCAAAACCCTTCATATATGATGAAGTCTCCAGAGTACTTCAACAGGCAAAACCTCAAGCTTCAACGGCATTCATAACGACTTCCTGGTTAAGTGCAGTTGGTTCCCCAGGAATTGGCTTACTGGATTTTTTTTGGTGTTACAGTCCGCTCCAAGCCTTAACCTCCTTCAGTTTCTTTCCCCATCCATCTCTATCCATAGCCGCTCTCTTCCAGTTCGTGATGCCGAGGATATTTCTGGAGTCTTCCTCCACCTCATCCTGCCCATCTGGGTCCTCCCGCTGCCCTGCGTTGGTCTATTTTAGTTTCGAGTACTCTTTTAGGCGTTCTTACCCCCTACATTCGTACCACGTGACCAGCCCAACGGACTCTTGTATTCTGACGAAAACGGATTGGCAGCTCTTTAAACGTTTCGTACAATTCGCGATTGTATCTGGATGTCCACTCCCCGTTTTCTTACTTTGGACCAAATATTCTTCTTAGGATTTTGCTTTCAAACACGCTTATATGTATAGTTTGTCATTTTCTTCGGACTTCCGGCTCCTCGCTATCATCCTTTCATAGTTAGACCCCCAGATATGTGAAATCATTCACTCTTTCCAGGTTAGTATCCCCGATGGTTAGATTTTGCAGAGTTCTGCCTGAGCGTGTTTGAGTTAAAACTTTGGTTTTTTCTGCATTTATTGAGAGACCCATTTCTCGAGAGTTGTCTTCCAGTTCGATAAATATTTCCTTCGCTGTTATTGCTCTGCCCATTATGTTGATGTCGTCAGCATGTGCTACTATTTGGAAAGACTTATTATTCAATATGTTTGAAGAATTAATCGATATTTTTCATATAACATATTCCTAATCTATCGCCTTGTTTTAATCTTTGTTTTTTTCAAATGGGTTAGTCATCTGATTCCTTTATTCTGACATATATCATAGTACTGGTAGTTTTAAACACTCATTTTAAACTGTAGTCATCTATTCGGCGCATTTGAAGCTGTCGGTACTTTCTACTAAACAAGAAAGAATCTGTATAAAAAATGACGCAATCCGCACTGTAGGGTTTTTAGGTATATTTAAACTTATTCACCCAGATGTCGTGTTGAATTTTGTTGTTCAAAAAGGTATTTATTTGATAAATGGTTATTAGGTGTGATTTATAAGCAGCTTCGTGAATTGTTTACGTATTGCAATTACAATTTTCGAACATTTCTTATTTTTATCCCAAAAAATGTTACATTTTGTGTTTGGTACGTAAAAGTACCGTCAGGATAATAACAGGTACAATATTAATATTGAGAAATAGAAGATGAAGAAGACGACATTGTTATTACTAGTGCTTGTGAGGTACCTATACTGGAAGATGAAGAAGTGGAATAAGTAACTAATGAAAATGAGCAAAATGACACTGAAGTAGTAGAAATATGTGGCAAAGGGCCCAACAAGAAGAACAAGGCAGAAATTGATAGAAGATGGAGAAGACGGGAAAACAGACTAAAATTCCAGGATACCATTATCCAGAGAGAATAATTGGCGATACTTATTAATCCTACAGATTATTTTCTAACACTCATGGGCAACTGTGTGAAACATATTACCTTTCAAAGTAATTTGTACGCCACCTTAAGGAATAAAATGCTTGAAAGAAGATATTGGCATACGTTTCTTAATGAGTTATCACAGTTTGCCAAGCTATAAACTCTTCTTCAGTAATGCTGAAGACTTGGATGTACCACTTGTCATACGAATAATAACCAGTAACAGGTTTCAGGAGATTTTATCATATCTGCATGTTATTATCATGGCACTAGGCAGTTGGCTGTGGATGAATCCAATCCAACCTAACAATTATTATATATCACCTTAAAGAGAAAGCTTTGAGCTTTAATTTAGAACAAGTCTCATTCCTTAATTTCAATAAATACGGCTTCCAGACATTTTTAAATTAGCATCTTTTTTGACGTTCTTAGGTTGTATGAAAATGTAAGTTTTGTTTCAACATTTTTTTTCTCAATATTTTTCCAATCCAACCTAACAATTATCATACATCATTTTAAAGAGAAAGCTTTGAGCTTTAATTTAAAATAAGTTTCATTCCTTAATTTCAATAAATACGACTTCCAGGAATTTTTAAATTAGCATCTTTTTTGACACTTTTAGGTCTTAGGAAAATATGTATAAGTTTTGTTTCAACATTTTTTTTCTCAATATTTTTCCAATCCAAGCCAACTATTATTATACATCATTCTAAAGAGAAAACTTTGAGCTTTAATTTAGAACAAGTCTCATTCCTTAATTTCAATAAATACGGCTTCCAGGAATTTTTAAATTAGCATCTTTTTTGACATTCTTAGGTTGTACGAAAATGTAAGTTTTGTTTCAACATTTTTTTTCTCGATATTTTTCCAATTCATCCCAACAATTATCATACGTCATTTTAAAGAGAAAGCTTTGAGCTTTAATTTAAAATAAGTTTCATTCCTTAATTTCAATAAACACGGCTTCTAGGAATTTTTGAATTAGGATCTTTTTTGAAACGTAGATTATGCAAAAATGTTAGTTTTTGCTCAATATGTTTTTCTCAATATTCTATCAGATTTTCGTCGTTTTGTAGATACAGGTTTGATAAATAAATATTCCAATTTACTGCGTCCACGAAAATGTCGTAGCGCAAGTTCAAAAGAAAGAGGAAGTTGTGAATATTGTTCTGCCAAAGCTAGACCCCACTCAAAATGTACTGCGTGCAATGTTTATTTATGTTGTAATGAAAGAAAGAACTGTTTTTCTGAATGTCATAATGTGAGTTAGCTAAAGCAAATTCTTTTTTATGGTTAATTTGTGCCTCTTTAAGCCGTGCTGTCTTCGTGTTTTTATTACGTCTAAACTCTAAGTCTATTGTTAAGATGATTCCCTCTATTCCGGCCAACCAAGTATCAAATCATATTATACTAACATCAAAGATAAGGCGTATTAAGAGGAAGCTGAAAAAGATTAAGGCTGCCTACCAGGAAAGATTCGACTTCTCAAAACCCTTCACATATGATGAAGTCTCCAGCGCACTCCAACAGGCAAAGCCTCGGGCTGCAATGGCATTAATAACGAGTTCCTGGTTAAGTGCAGCTAGTTCGCCAGGAATTTAAGAAGACAAAGATCATCTCTATCCTGAAGTCGACGGACTTGTCCGACTATTGATCACTTTATACTCCTAGAACGCCTCATTCTAAACCAAATAGCTAACAAGATTCGAACAAGGCATGGCTTATAAAAAGGCATACTCCATAAGTGGAACAAAACCCCGCACACCATGTGTGTTCAACCTATTTGGAAAATGAGTAGCCTCTTTTGTAGTTAATATTATTATTACTTTTAATTAATTAGAAAAAATAAAAAACATAACATTATTTCTTCTTAATTTCATTTTGATTAAAATTAGAAAAAAATAAGAATTATTTACATTTCAACAATTAAATTAACACAATTTACTTCCAGATAAATTAAACCATACCTACATCGAGCTATTATCAACATTATTTTGCACATTTTTATCAACTGTAAGAATAACTGAACATACAACACCTGATTTAGTAGTAAATAAATTTATTAAAACCATGTTGGATTTAAAAGATGTTCTACAAGTTTTGGGGAATTCCTTATTGGATTTGAATCACGTAAGAACCCAACAAAATTGTTCAAATAATAGTAATAATAATGTTATTACTTTTTAGAATTTAAACATAATGCGTTCTTATTTAAATATAGCATTTATGTGGGGGGAAATATTAACATTATTAAATTTTTATTCGTCGTCAAGTGAAGTATCAAAATTAAAACCGATTAATAACACGAATGATTATCAAATTTGTTGTATATCGTATATTCACTCGTATTTAACCGCCGATCAATGGAGTTCTATAACAGAAAGAATAACAAATTTCGGCGAGAAAAAATGCAAAACCATTTTGCAATTACTTCAATTACAAAATATTAAAGCGATTTATTTATTTGAAAATGGAAATCTGGATGTAGCGGCGTTATTTTTAAGAAATCTAACGCAATCCCCATCGTTTGAAAGTTTACTCTCTGATAGATTTGTTAATAAAATATTACTTCGAAATTTAGAACCTAATTTAGTCTCTTTGTTGGGTAAACACTTTATTAAAGAAGTTTTGCACGACGAAAACCACGTTTTTTGGTTATCTGGTGTTTTGGAGAGTCCCGAATTAGTTGAAAAAATTATCTTAATGGTTTTAGTTAAAATTGCGAAATGTTGTAAACCGAAAAAAGATAAAGAACAAGTTGACGTTAAAGAATTGTTGAGTACTTTATTTGTAAGTGAGTTTGAAGAAATATGTTGCGATTCTTTAAAATATCATCAACTTTTCAAGAATTATTTTAAACAGCAGATTTTGAATGAAAACAAATTAAGTGATTATTTCGTTTTGTTAAAAAAATTGCCCATTTTAGCACAACATCCTCAAGTTCAATTAACTATATTTTTATATTTATCATCACTCTTAAAATGTTTAATAAAGGAGGAACTTAAATTAAAAGATGAAGTTGAAAAGATTATTGTGGGTAAGTTTCTAAGTGAATAGTTTTTATTATAAAATGATTTAATGATTGTTTTAGGAATGATTCAATATCCTTCTGATCTCCTGATTAATTTACCAGCTGAATACATAATAACTTTCATATTAGAAAATACAACCGATTACAAAGTTGTATTTCAATACTGGTTAGAAAATTTATTACAAAACGCTTCTAATTTTATTAACCAATTTCAAAAACTTGTTTCTTATTTACTACAAAAGTTTGGCGATGATGATAAAATTCGACATTGTATCATACAAGTTTTAAATTATTTAAATAAGGTTTGTATTTGGTTTGGTGAGAAAATTTGAACTTTATTTATTTACTTTCAGTATAAAAAACATAAATTGTTTATTAAATTAAAAAGTGAAATTAATAAAGAAAGGGAAAAAATTTATTCAACAATAAATAATTGGCAATCATCGAATAATGAGAGTTCTATGGACGATGTTTATTTTTATGCTTTATCTTTAAAGTATTACCTGTCAGTTGGATGTGAAGAAAATAATAAAATCAAAAAAGATTTTAAGAAATATTTAAGAAAAGTAATTTTTACATTTAAATATTTATGCCTAAAGTCAAGTACTTTAGAAATCGGTATCTTCGCAACTGTGCTTATTGAATCCCTTTTCAAAGTTAAGACACAGTCTGTACAAAATATCTACGGAAAATTCCTTGAACTGAAAAGGTAATAAATGAAGAAGTACTCACTCGAGTAAACAAAGAACGAAAACTGTTTACCAGAATTAAAAAGAATAAAACTTATTTGGGACATGTCAGGCGGTATGATAAATACAAATATCTCCTCAATTAATGATTGAGGGCAAATTAGAAGGTCGAAGAAGGATTGGCAGAAAAAAGAAGAAATCAAATATCTGTAAAAAAATAATTTTACCAAACATTTTAAATATTTTACCTACACAAAGAAATAAAGGCGCGACGTCTAGTCTAGAACTTATTAAACTTTACCACAATAATTTGCATCGAGCGGTTTGCGAAGATATTGATTTCTAAACTAAATCATGACTTTTGTCACGACTATTAGAAATAAAATAACCATTTTATTTTTAGATTTCTAAAACTGAAGAATTTAATAACGAAGCTATTTTGTTATTATTTTCAACGATCCTTACAAATAAAAAGCAACTAAAAGGTGTTGATGATCAAGTTATTTTAGATATTTGGAGTTTAACGCGAAAATTAAAACTAGACAACAATTTAAGAAAGGAATATTCTAGTTTGATTGTGTTGATTTTTGAACATATTAGTAATGATAATTTTGCAATTATGTGTGAAGATTTAAAAACGTTTTTGGTAAATTCTCCTTTTTATAAAAAATTGAATTTTTCAAAGATTTTTTTTAGAAAGCGTCTTTAGATAATAAAAATACGAATGATTTTAAAGAAGTTATGTTAAATATAAACGGAGTGTTTCAATGTAGTCTTAATCCAACGAAATTAAAAACTTGGCAAGATAAAGTAGAAGACATATTGATACATTTAATCGATAATTTAAACGAAAAAAATTGTGATAACTATTGGGAGGATGTTATTGCTTTTGAAATGAATATTATTCAAGCAAATCATGTAAGCAGTCAAATATCTTTTTGATTTTGTGTAATTGTTATTTTTTAATTATTTTAGTTTATGATAACAGCTTTAATGATTGACGAAATTTTTCGTTCAATAACCATTCTATTTTTAAATCCCCCAACAACTTTACCAACAATTTTCAAACCTAGCATACAAATCTTAATTTTGCTCTTAAAACATCGAGCACCATTAATAACAGATCGTTTACCTCCGTTTCTACAAAAATATCGATTGTTATTAACGCATCTTTGCAAATCTGGTGATTCATCTTTAAATCTTCAAGCGCCCGCAATAGAAGAACTCGCCGATTGTGCCCATCAATTAGAAAAGTTAACCAATATGATTGTAGCTTGTGGAAAACACGTTCAAAGAATTACTCCGTATTTAGTTGCGGATATTTTAAAACAATATGAGAGTATTTCTTTGTATACTAATATTAAGGTAAATCTTAAAATATTTTGGGAATGAAAGTAATAAGATTTTTTTTAGATGCACATTGACAACTGTATTTATAGTTTAATGAGTTTATTTGATCAACACACGGTTTCATTTTTAATGAGATCTTTAAGCACCGCATCTACTGAATTATTTAAGTATATGCATGGTAATTATAAAAAATATTATAAATTTACTGGAAAAGTGTAAATTATGATTGAAATATTAGGATATATTGAAAAATAAATAATTTTATTAATAAAACGAGTACTTTTATTGGTTGTAGTTCATCAATAAAGTATAGAAATCAGTTGATAAAAACATTATAAACGTTTTTAGGAAAAATGGTTACAAATTATAAAACATGGGTACTGGAAAAGATATTTTAATATCTCTACTATCGCCCACATTCTAACATAAGAACATGAGATAGAAAACAAGAAGGAATTTTATGACCAGCTGGAAGAAACCTACAACAAATGCCGAAAAAACGATGTTAAAATTATAATAGGCAGACAATAGGCACCACGAAAATGAAGAATTCTTAATTTCGCCAGCAGGAAAAATAGGGTCATCAGATCAACTTCTTTCTACATAAAGAAATACATAAGACATCATGGATTATACCAGGCTATGCCGTGGCTAAATTGACCAAGTCTCAATAGGCAAAAGAACAGCATTGAGTATTAGTTCAAATAATTCATGATTTAGATGCCGTATTTTAAGGAAAAAAAAACTAAGGGACTGAGAGAGGTGAGGGAGAGCTATGAAAAAGAGCTAATGAACAGACTCTCTGTCACAGGAGACTTGGGAATCGAGAAGCATAGGGATAAGGTCAAAACCATATCTGAAATGGAAACACGAACGACTGAAGAATGCGATAAGAAGAAAAAGGAAAGAGCAGAGTGGTTCGACGAAAAATGCAAAAAATTCATAGGGGAAAGGAACGAAGCACACAAAAAACATATTAAAAGGAGAACAACAGAAAGAAGAGCAAAAATTAAAAGAAAACAGGAAATAGTGAGATACAAAAAATGATGAATGAGTTGAGAACGACAGATAATAAGCGACACACAAATGATAAAAACGACCTAAAACACACTTCCAAACGTTGCTTGGCATACAAGAAGAGGCAGAAGAGAGTCAAATACTCAGAATAAGGCCTCGAGACGAGGAAGAGTTGGAATCTCCAACATTAGAGGATGTTAAACAAGCTATCAAAACACAAACGACAAGATGCCCGGTATCGGAGAGAAGAAAAACCTGTAAAAATTTTCTCTTCTTATGTACATCCTACAAAATCTTCACCTACACAACAAAAAACTTAATCGGCGGATACCAAGCTGGTTTTAGAAAAGGACGCTCCACAATCTGATCGATTTTCTCACTTAAACACATTCTGATCAAGGCCTGGAAACAGGACATACATCACAATGATAAACCGAAATGGTTTAACTTGCCCTTGAATACGTCAAATGGATGTCAGTAAAACAAACTCACTAATAAATAAATCCGTGCAAATAGCAGCCTATGCCAATGATATTAACATCAAGTCTCACAGAACAGACCACGGCAGATGCATACACACAACTTAAAAGAGAAACCAAGAATATCAGTCTTGAAATAAATAAATAAAAGGCAAAGATACTAACGCAAACGAGAATCACATCATAGCCAAGGAAACCGTTGAAGAAGTGACACAACGACTCATGAGTGTCAGAACTTGGAAGAGTGTAGCTCTTGATCGGCAGTGTTGGAGATAAAACATGAAGGAGGCCAAGGCTCAATTTGGGCTGTATCGCCATTATAGAAAGAAAGCCTAAAATAACCAGTTCAACAAAACAAAATGTTATACATAGAACACTGTTGTAGTATTGTGTTACATGTCAGTCTATCATTGAGGACCACATCTTGAAGCAGCTCTCGTCAAAGACTGATGTGTATGTTTTTTTGTCCCAGATTGAGTTCTACTGCTGGTTTACACTTGTTCAAGTTCTGTAGAAAGTTTTTAGCGATTTTATGTATAAACTGATGAATCTTATGACCTTGTTTTGAAGTGTTTCAAAACCAGGAAGAACTTTTTTTTTGAAGGGATATGGGGTAAATATGCCGAATGCATAAGTCGTGATAGGTTGCAGTATCGATTTCTAAGCGGATACAGTTTAATCATTATTTGATAGCATGTTGCCACCCTTGTTCTTATATGACAGTTTAGGTTAATCACATATCTATGTAGATACACTCCCATGTACTTTAATGGGTCAGCTTTCCATGGCAGAGGTTCATCGTTAATTTTGATAACGAGATTTGAGTGGATTTACTGCAATATTGAGGTCTCGTTAACAGTCTGTGTTTAAGAATTTCATTTTCAGAATTATCCCCTAAGACTTTCGGAATATTGTTTCAAATGTTGTATGTTAACACAAAAGTGCCGATAAACATGAATATCGAAAACCAATTTTGAAACAACCATTAATTATTCAATAACAATTAAGCCCAAAGTCAAAATTTTATGTTTTTAACGTGGTCATTCTGATATTTTCATTTTCTTTCTATAAATATTTAGAACTTTTCTTCCTTTATCCACACAGACAGTAATTCTCAATATAAATCTATAAATTCGGTTATAAACAACGTTTTATTACTTCGCGATGATATGTTATTGCAACTACTAAAGGTTCTAAATTTATCAACTACTTAAAAGATTTATGTAAAACTACTTCGAATTATGCATAGTTATTTAAATATTACCGTCAAAGAACATCAAAAGTTGTATTTAAATTTTATAATAACTGTTATTTTTATTGCCTAAATAGGTTGCATTTTATATTGAATAAAAAATGTGTTTATCTCATAAAAATATAAATTAAGATTAATGTTGTATGATTGTAATGTTGGTTGCTTAATCATATATACATTTAAAATTGTTAAATAGATTGTTTATAGATTGGTATAATAAATTATTTGATTAAAAGTTTATTGAAATTATATTTATGTAAAATTATATCTTAATATTAATGAAAAAAATGTACTATTTTTATTTTAATTAAATTAAAAAAATAGTATTGCAATTGTTGTTTTGGTTGCCTAAACAAATCGTTTTCATTTAATCATTATCGGTAAAACAGAACACAATAAATTACCACACATTATTTAAAAGAAAATTGATTTAATACTACGATAAATAATTTTTAAGTGTATCTTCATAAAGGTAAGGAAATAAATTTAAATAAGTAAATGAAACCAGATTTATAAATAAATTGTGATAAAAAAGTGTAGCTCCATCTTTGATTTTTTTGTAGACTTATAAACTGTCAAATATAATAATAAGAAAAAAAATGGTGACAGTAGTGTGGGGTCGGTAACTTGAAAGAGATGCGACAGAAAAAGAGAGAGAGCCATCTAGCGTTCGAACGGGTCAGTCGGATAGTAATGGCCGCGTTATAGCAGTATCGTAAGGGAGAATCGTGCAAAGGTGCGCGCCCCTTCGTCGTACTCGAAGTTTTCCCAAACAACAATACTCGCTCGGACTCTAGCTATGACTCGTCCGGTTCGGTGAGAGTGACCCCCCGCAGAAAAGTACGCGACTCATAAAAAAAATTATTGTGATAACCGGTGTGTGATTATGTATTGCTCGGTTGACAAAAGTCACAGTAGTAGTGGAACTGCCCCCGCCACGCAATCCAAAAATGTTAAGGACGGTATGTATCTTTAATATGTTATCTTCATTATTTTACAAATTCTTTTATTTATTCATTCATCTTTTATTTCATAATTTTCGTTTCGTTTTTGTTTTGATTATTGTTATTCATAGCCTACTATAAAATCAAAACAATTAAAATTTGATCGTATATATTTTACCCTCGATAGACGCAAGATAGAAATATCTTAGTTAAATTATTCATACAGTGTTTGTGTTGATGAATAGAAAAAAAATAATAAAGTAAAAGATTTAGGTTAGTCAACCTAGAAAGGAGAGTACGAGGAGAACTCGAGGCCAACCGACACTGAAGTCGACAACTTCGTCGTCAACTACTTCTACTTACTGGGGGGCTACTTAAGAACGTCACCGTGTCGCAGTCTTAAAACGATACACGCACACAGCAAAAGGCTATTCTAAAGACTTCTCTTGCGTATCTTCTACCTTCTATACTCATTAAAAGCAAAAATAGCCCATAAATGCTGTGTGGATTTCGTTTTTCATTTTTCGCGCGGTCAACAAACTTGAAAGTAATATTAGTTTTATATATACGAGTCCGTGTGGGCGATCATGTGTACATAAAACTCCCAAATAAGTAAGTGAAAATGATCGTTCCTCGATTTAAACTTTAGAATGAAAAGATCTTTTGCTTGTTTCATGTAATTTTCATTCACTTTTTTATCGTCTATGTCAGTATTTCTCAATCTGGGGGGTATCCAAGTAAACCAAGTATCACCAACAATACTTAAGGCGGTCGACGTCTACGAAATTGGTCGAGATTACTTCTTATATTAACAGAAAAGTATCACGAACAATACTTATGATGGTCTAATTATCACGAACAATACTTATGGTGGCCCAAGTATCACGAACAACACTTATGGTGGCTCAGGTATCACGAACAATACTTATGGCGGCCAACGTCTTTGAAGTCAGCCGTCCCAACTATCACAAACAATACTTATGGTGACTTCCAGTATCACGAACAATACTTATGGCGCCCTAAGTATCACGAAAAATACTTATGGCGGCCCCAAGTGTCACGAACTATACTTATGGCAGAAATTTTTTTCTTATATCAACAGAAATAATCTCGGCTGACTTCGAAGACGTCGGCCGCCCCAAATATCACAAACAGTACTTATGGCCACCCTAACTATGACGAACAACACTTATGGCGGCCCAGGTATCACGAATAATGCTTATGGCAGCCCAAGTATCACGAAAAACACTTATGGGGAACCAGATATCACGAACAATACTTATGGTGGCCAACGTCTTTGAAGTGGGCCATCCCAAGTATCAAAAACTATACTTATGGCAGCCCGAAGTATCACGAACAATACTTATGGCGGCCCCAAGTATCATGAACAATACTTACGACGGCCGACGTCTTTGAAGTCAACCGAGATTATTTCTTATATCAATGGAAATAATCTCGGCTGACTTCGAAGACGTCGGATGGCGCAAATATCACGAACAGTACTTAAGCGGCTCCAAGTATCACGAACAATACTTATGGCGGCAGACGTCTTTAAAATCGAAACTACACAAAAC